ATGCTGCCGCAATACTACGGCCAGAGGGGCTGGCGTCAGTGCGCCCTCTCACGTGACAGGCTCTGCGCCAATTCAATCCCCTTGGACATCCATTCGAGGTCGCACCGCCCTTCGTGAAGAATCGCACTGCGAATTCTGTCATAGCTGCAACTGGGGGGCAGTGCCCGCCTTGAAGTGCCTTGAGAAGTTTCACCATGAACACCAGTTGTATGTCTCCAAGCCCAACAAGTCGCCACACACATCCAGTTTGATCGCCTAGCACGCCTGTGGCCCAGAAACTCAAGCCTTCTCTTCTACACAGCAATCTTCTGGATTGTACTTCCCATTGACGAAACGAAGCGAATGCACTCAGAATGTGCCCAGCGCTCCCAGGATTGCTGAGCCCGTGTTCGATGCACCTCCGCCCACCCCCCACCCACCCCCAGCGAGGCACTCGCCCGTGCAGAAAGCCAGCACTCCGTAGCCAAGGGCGCAGCGCTCCCGAACCGAAGCGGGGCCACGGCTGCGGAGCCTGCCTTCACAAGCGCCTCCAACACTGCAACTCCATGGACGACCTGGGGATGCCAAAATCACGCCATCAACTTCAACCCACCCCACCGTGGAGATCACTGCCGCAATGCCCAAGTGATCCACACAATCACACCAGACGCACATTGCCGGGTGAGCCTGGGAGCCTGATGGTGCCCAGTGCACGGCGACCATGCGGTAGCAGTGGGAGCGCGACCGCCCACCTCCTCCGCCCTCGTCGCCTGGAGCGCATTGTGAGGACTCATCCCGCCCACCCTGCGACGTCGGCCCACCTAGCGCCGTGATACCCACGCCCCGACATCCTGGCTGGCCAACACAAACCGGCCGGGCCTTAAGCCCGTCACAGGGGCGCGCTCACACACACACACACACACGTCGAAGGAAAACACACAAAATATAGGGCGGGACAGCCGGCGGCGCCCGGAGACTCATCACCTTGCGGACCGCCGCACCGTAACGCCCTCCTCATTCGCGAACATGGTCCCGCCGGTGTGTCGCGCCTTGGGGCCCCTCCTGGGCCTGTGTTCCTTGGTTGGCGCCGCGCACGCCATCAGCGCTGATGGCGTGCCCTATGCCCGCGACGGCGACCAGCGCCACGGCGAGCACAACGAGCGCGAGGGCGGCGAAGGCGGCAAGGGAAGACAGGGAGGCCATCGCAGGGCGGGGCTGCTGAGTGGCTGCCGCTCGGTGCTGGTGACATCACAAACAGCCGGGGCATGCTGGGGTCTATTGAGGGCGGATTTGGGGATCCATGTACCTGCGGGGCCAGAAATTGGACTCTCCAGGGTCAGTCCAGGCCGTCACTCTGTGGGACAGCAGTGCTATCACAGGGCTATCAGGAGAAACCGTGCTTGCAATGCCAACAGCGATGCCATTTTTACACAAAGTGGCGCGATCACTGTGATTGAGATGGCACAAAAGTTTCCCGTAACGGCATCAATTTGTGTCAAGTGGCGTAGCACCCGGCATCGCAAAACGCCGGATTCCACTGGTGCAGCCCGCCACGATGGCACGAAGAGCTCGGGCCCTTTCCTTCACATCCGCTGCCACAGTTTTGTGTGGCTGCCGGTTCGTGCTGAGGTGGATGCCGCGGGGCTCAGGGACTCCCAACCTTCGGCCCGCTCTCTAAATCCATCGAATTCTGCGGCCAGGTTGTGAGGAGATGGCATTCGCCACTGGATCTTAATGACATCGGGAGTTTCTCGCTGACAGCACGCAATATTCCATAATAGCCGCAAGTGCTGAAAACGGCTGCAATGTACTGTTGGCTGTCGGTAACAACATATATAGGGTTTAGGAGGTTCATTGGTGACCTTGACCCCAGAAAAATCGTTCAATTGTTAGTCAATACAAGGCGCATGGGATTATCTACAAATCAATAAGTTTCTGATGAAGAACGTGGGAGGGAGTTGGTAATGCCCCAGACGTACTTTGAGGTGACGAAAGCTAGATTTGTTTCTGGGAGTTCAACCCATGCAATTTTAGATGAGGTGGTCCATAAAATATGTTTGACTTACGCAAACGGTGCAGTTTGCTTGGGATAAGCTTTCAAGGATAGTGAATGACTTAATTGGCGGACATATACAAGGTTGCCAGACAGCTTCTCTATTTCAGGGAGTACCGCGATTGCCGCGAATTTTCTTGCTCCCTCAATCTCCTCTCGTGGTGTGAATTCGAATTCGGATTTGGTGAAGTACCGCAGTTCAGTCCCTTGTTGCAAGTTGCAAAGCACAGGAAAGGCGGCACTCACGGTCACAGGCACTGTTAGTAAGTGGAATGGCGATGGACACCACGGGTGAGAGTATGAATTCCGTTTACCACCATGTGAGTCAAGCTGGAAGAGGATCTGGCCAAGTGCAAAGCGATTGTACGCCAACTTTCCGCTTGGTTAGCCAAGCCAAAGTTGGCTTCCAATCGGTTGGGCTGTGTGCTGCTGGCGGAGTTGAGGCTCCTGTTGCATAATCATTCACTGCAACTTTGCAATTTTTTTCAGATCCAGGTAGTAACAATCATACTCGAGCCATAGGGCCCGTTGCCTCCATACTTTGATGATGTGTTGGTGCATGATCACTCAAAGGTAACATCGCTCGGTGCTCCATGACCATGTGAGCATGTGCGCACATGCAGCGATGAATTCCGCGCCTTGGTTGCTGTCCAGTCCAACAATTGTTGCGGCGAGGACGCAGATTACAATTTAGCGTATTTTACTAGAGATTACAAAATGAGTCAATTCATTTGACGGACAATCAAATCGCATTAATACTATTTGTGCATTTTCTGAAAAGTATTTTTGGAACAGAGTCGCCGTTTCCATATTTTCGGCAGACACTGAAAATGCATAAATTAGACCTAACGAACGGTACGATACAACTGTGTTGCTCTGTTGCTCACCACTCATTTTGCTGCCGTTTCTTGCACTTGGGAGCCAGTGAAGCATCTGTGCAATTTGAAAATAGGATCGGTCCCTCACAACAATTGGCTCTTGCGATTCTCACCGGCGTCAGTCTGCAAAGCGCCGCCATACACAAAGAAATGGAAGAATTCCTGTGAAAACAAACCCTTTCAGGAGATAGCATGGAATCTCCCTCCACTTCGTCTGTTGCCATCCATGATGTAAATTTCTTTAACTACTATGCCTGCCATTCTGAACCTCCACAGACGCAAATTTCGAACAGCATTGTAAACACACCCCGGCGAGCAAATTTGTCATACGGGCACTCTCCGATAACTTCCCACGCGGAAATTGGCTGACAATGTAGCAATTTGTCAAATGACTGAAAACTGCGTTTGCTGATACAATGGGAAAGACTACTGTGGCGATACTATGGGAAAGAACATTGTGGCCATACTGTGGGAAAGAATGGTGAAGTGCATAGCAGTACTTCTTCGTTCCTGTGACCCAATTTGCTGTGACCTGTAAATTCCTATACCATGTTGCAATGCGATATGGAGTTTTGGGAGCTGCAGAAATAAGGAAATTTGCAGTTCTGCAGAATAAAACTGACTGAAAACAACAAAGAACAACCGAAATTTAAACCACAGGCCTGTATTTGCCTTTCACTTTCTGCCAAAATTCATTTTGTTTCGGAATTGTAAATTAAGGTACGAGCACAACTGTCGGCAAATACACATTTTGCCTTCCCTCGTGGTCAATGGCCCCAAAGGCTGCCGGCGCTCCCATTCCACTGATCATATGACCCAAGGTTTGCCGAACTGGGCATACAATCAAATTGATTGAATCAATGCTGTAAACTCTTTGATGAAAGTCGCCCCTTCGTTGGCAGCAAGTGGTCGCTGCACATCGAAACCAAGCCCCCGAAAAAGAGCACTTCCGCCAAATCTGGCGGCAAATTTGGGTGCTTTTTGTGGTGCGAACTTTTAAGAGTCACACCACGTGTTACGTTCCGCGAACCCCCCGAAACCCCGCTTACTAAGCGCACGACGAGACCCACCGGATGCGGCCCACGTGCGAGCTGCCTTGAGGGCGCTAATCGGATTCCGCTCCCGGATCTTTGACACACCCCTGACACACCCGGGGCGGGTGGTCCCACGGCAACAGGGCCTTGGCCCCGGTCCGCCCTCCAATCCGTGGCGCGGCCGTCGCCGGCACGGTAGCGGGCCCCCGCCGTGAGGGCCGCGAAGGGGCGGGGGAGGAAGGAGAGGAAGAAAGGGAGGGGGTGGGAGCCCGGGTGGCGGGGGGGCCGGCGCGCTCTGGCGCTGGAGCGCTTACGATGCTGAGGAAGCTGGGCCTGCGCCAGGGTCCAAGGAGGCAGGCGGGGACTGGGGAGAACAAGGTGAGGACGGCCGTCCAGAACGCCCTACGGAGCAAAATCGGATGGGGGGCCATCAATCGGGGAGGCCTGAGCTGATGTTGTGCGACGGGACGACGCGCGGAGTCGCGGTCTTACCGCAATCGCACGTCAGGGCGCGGCTGGCGTCCCGAAAACGGATTGGACGTTTTCGCGCTCGCTTGCAAAGCCTTTGGCACGCGCTGGACGGACGGCGGCATGCGGGAATCGCCACGGTGCGAACCGCTGCAGTCTGCGTCTGCGGGGGCGCGCTCCGCTCCGCCGTTCGGGCGCCAAGAGTCCGACACAGGGACGCGGAAGGCGACAGCGAGCTCCACCTGCGCGGCATCGTCGATCGCGAGTCCACCGCCGGGTTGGCGCTCGCGCTTGGCCTCAGCCGCCCGTGGACATCCGCTACCGTGGGCAGGAGCTCGCGGCGCCGAGAAACCGCATGACCTGCGCACTGGCGGTCAGCTAGGCGATCGCCAGGCGTACTGCACGGATAGCGATCTGTGCTCTGAGCCTGGGGAGCATCATGGCCGACGATGCCAAAAGCCGACAAGAGCCGGGGATTGGCCGTTGGACCGCGCGCAAATGGGCCTCATGACGCCGCGGGATGCTGTTCTTGCCGGGATGCAAGCGCGGTGCTCATGGCAAGCTCGGTGTTTGATCCAGCCCGCTTCGATGGTGTCCGCTCTCATGGCCGCCCCGACGAAGAAGACGCACCGCGCCACGGCCAGCATGGGTGGCCTGCTGGACGCCGAGGAGCCGCTGCTGCTGATGACAGACGCCGAGATCGAGGACGACTTCAACTTGCTGGAGGAGTCCCCCGACGGGGGCAAGACTTTCTACAGCGGGGGCAGGGACGCCACGGGCGAGAGGGAGACGGTGCGGTGGGAGGGCGTGGGCCTGATCAAGACGCCGCGCAGCAGGCAGAGGCCGGCGCTCACGCGTAGCAACTCCATGCCCAGCTCGGCGGAGCGCGCGGAAAGGGCCACCAGGGCCGGGGCGGCGCCGGAGGTCAACAAGGCGCTGCGCCTGCGGCCGGCGGGGAGAATCTTGCGGCGGCAGAGGTCCATGCCGTTGTGCTACAGGGAGCTGAGGGCCATGAAAGTGCAGGTGGGCTGACGTGCTTGAGGGCGCCATTGTCGGGCGCGGGAACCATCCCCCCCTGCTGTGCTGGAGGATCATGGGCCGTGTGGCGCTGATGAACCCGGCTACCCGATTGCGCCCTGGATTGAGTTCCCTGGCTTGTTCAAGACTGTGGATGGCCTGACGTTCTGCTGTCGAGGACCTGTGGGGTGCAGGTTTGAACAACGGGAATACAGGTCGCACATTGGACCGCGCAATCCCAACAAATGAATGTTGGGCCCTTCGCGACTCGGAGCTTCTCTGATTTGCAAGGGCTGTCCGATGGTTATGGTGCCTGTTGTCTTATCTGCCGGCTGCTGTGCTGCAGAATCAGTCGGCCGATGTGAAGAGGCGCTACCAGAGGTGGCGCATGGCTCGTGAGCTCGAGTTGGACCAGCTGCGGAAGCAGTGGATTGCCTACCAAAGAACGGCTCGACGAGGGAAGTCCAGGGCAAGGAAGTCTTTGTGTAAAGCACAGCCCACAAAGCACCAAGAGTCACCAGGTGTGTTCAGATGAGCAGGTTGACTGCACTTGCTTTCATGGTGCAGCATGGCCACTGCCATATCACTTGGCAGTTCTCATGTCAGCATCATGCCACTCAGGCTGCCCTGCTTCGTGCTCAGCTGACCTATGTCAACAATGCACATAGGTGTCTCACACTAGCAGAAAGCCCCCTTTTTCTCATGCACCTGATGGCAGTGATGCCCTTCTTCAGGCTGCTCTGCACAACAGTCAACAAAACTTGCCCTCCGTGAGCGGCAAGTGCAGTCCCCAGTGGACGTGATGTCAGTCCCTGGGAAGCGACAGAGGAGGTTGGAGCGGCCTGTCACCAGAGAGCTGTTTGCGTCGACACCATCGCCACGGACCAGTCTGCCAGACAGCGGACGCAGCAGGCACAGCATTGACTCTGCTGCGCCACTTAGCCCCACGCCTGATTATCTGTTGGAGGAGGCGCTGGCAATAGCTTCCAGATTCTCTGATGGTGACCAGGCGCATGAGCTGAGCTCAGGTTGTGCACGGCCTTCTCCAATGGAGAGGATAGCTGCTGCCGGACAGTTGCTGAGAAGGAACGGGGGAAAGAGTGCTTTGGAGAGCACTGAGAAGGGGAGGACAACAGGGATCCCGGGTGGTACTGGCAAGAGTAGCCAGCTTCCTGGGGGCCCTCGGAGCAGCCCGCTCAAGACGCCCCGTGGCCAAACAACACCTGCCGGAAGCCAGCAGATATCAAGCAAACCCCCCAGAAACTCGGGTTCTGCCACGCCTCGAGGTTCTCGGATCACCAGCAGTGCTAAGGCATCGCTGGGGGGCCCTGTCCGATGCGCGAGCAAGAGCAGGACTGCAGGCGCTCACAGTGACGGGCTGAAGACTGCCCCGGTCCTTGGGGCAGCCCAAAGGACGACGCCCAAGCGCAGGACAATGTCCGCCGTGGGTTTGCCACCCTCCAGAGGGACCAGTTCTGGGCTGGGCTCAAGCACGCCTCGCTCCGAGCCCACCTCAACCCCGCGTGGGACACCCAGGTCTGTCAGGAGGCCGCAGCAGTCATCCCCTCCTGAAGGCAGGCTGCGGAAGAGCCCTGTGGGGAAAACAGCGCCAAGCCCACGCCCTGGGCTTGGTCCTGCAGTCCGGGTGGGCGCGCCACGAGCACAGGGGCCCACCCCAAGGCGGGCCTCCACTCCCAGGGAGTCTGGCAGCAATCTGCCATCCAAGTCGGGGACACGCTCGTCTCTGGGGCCCCCTCAGCGCCTGTCCAAGAGCCCTGTGGCGAAGAGCGGCGACAGGACTGCGAAGGGGAAGGCTGCTGGCGCCTTGTCTCGTGTGCCATCGAGCGCCAGGCGTCTACCACAATAAAGGGCAGTGCTCTGAGCATTTTGTTTTTGCGCTTATGGAACTGTTTGCTTTCCCAGATCAATCTACTTTGGGGTCCAATTCTCATAGTCGGCGCCAACGCATTGTAGGGACATGCTGGGGTGCCTTGTAATAACAGATATTGGGTTTGGGGGTCGTGTATGGGGGTGCAGGCGCCTCCAAGAGTTATTGGTGCTCCTGTACATGTGTATACACTATATCTATTGGCTTCGTCGCCTGTTAGAACTCCCTAGCGTGGTGGCCGATGGTCGCCCAGGTGAAGACAGTTGCTGGGCGGCGGAATCTTGAACGGGTGGCTCGTGCAGGGCTAGTTGTGTGCGAAGACTGGCGCCGGGCGTGAGGTTTGTCGTGTAATTGAGGCCTGTAGGCTTTCGGCTGTGCTCCATGTTCGAAACCCCCTGCTTGCACACGGAACTCTGGAGTCCATGGCCAACAGGCGAGCATCATGCGAGCTTGCGTTTGGCTCAGTGTGTTGCTGAATGGATCAACGCACGCGCCTAATGGCACGTGGGCAACGCCATTGGATGAGGTGCCGTTGTGCAGCTGGTTCTCCTGGAGATCTGCTGAGGCCATGGTGGACCTTACAAGGTCTGCGGGGGGCCAAGCTCTGGGCTATGCTCTGGGCTATGCTCTGTGCTGCTGAGCTCCAGTTAGGAGCTGAGGTGGGCAGCGATGGCTCAAAAGCGGAGTGGGGTGGTTTGCCCTGTTGGTGGGGACGCCCTCTGTCAAGGATTGACACTGCTGTATCCACAGCAAAGTGCTGGCCCATCAGCTGTTGCACTGCAGGCACTGGACAAGTCTTACATCATAAGCTGGGAACGCGACTTGGAGGCCCCCGGAAATGAATTTTTTGAGTCTGACTCAGCGTTCTTGTGTAAGAATCGACCCTGTGACATGGGGGTTACGTGAGTGGCGGTGCTCTGTGAGGTGTTGTGGGCACGCGTCCCCGGGAGTGGGCTGGTGGCTGCGCTCAGGGCGGCCGGGGCGAGGCACGCGGCTATAGGTGCAACGGCTGCGGCGCGCCGTGCGCGCTTGCGCTCGAGGCGCTCGTTTTCCGGCGCGATTCCGTGTCGCCGCGGCGGCATTGGAGACCATCGCCGGCGCCGATCGTCACAACACCGACCGCACCCAAACTCGCGGCTCGGCGTTGGCGTTCCCGCGAGGGCTCCAGTCGGGCCGCGGAGCGACTCCAGAGCCTTCCAACGCTCTGCTGTGGCAGGCATCGGCACAGTGATTGCGGCACCGGATGCAATCCGCGCGCCCCTCAATGCCAAAGCGTTCAGGTCCCCCGGGCCCTGGAGTGAGTTTTGGAAAAGCGGAGAGCCCGGGTGCGGCTCCCACCCGGGTGGGGTGTGTGTGCTTGAGCGCGAGCACGGGGTGGGGTGAACACCCCCGCATCGTGAGAGCATCTTTATCGGTGGGTGGTATTGTCCCGGCGGTGCTATTCGGCTATTTGAATAGCACCGCACGTCAAAAACCATCATTAAGAGCATCTTTATCGGTCGGTGCTATTGCACTGGCGGAGCTATCCAGGAACGGCTCCCATTGGCTGCCATGCCACGTTACTAAGGTGGCATTTGCCGAATAGCACCAGTGCTATTGCTCCCCTGCGCGCATCCGCAATGGTGGGTGCCATTCCTACGCCGAATAGCATCACGGCAGAATTACAATGTTCTGCGCGAATAGCACCGGTGCTATGCCGGGGTGCTATTTGGCCTCGAGCGGTGCTATTCGGGCCCAGAATAGCACCGCTTGGCGCCAAATAGCATTGGCCATGCTATTGGGGTGCTATTGCTCCCCAACCGTTAATGATGGTTTTTGATGTGCGGTGCCATTCGGATAGCCGCATAGCATTGCCGGGACAATAGCACCCACCGATAAAGATGTTCTAACGGCTGGGGAGCAATAGCACCCCAATAGCACCGCCAATGCTATTTGGCTCCGAGCAGCACTATTCTGGGCCTGAATAGCTCTGCTGGTGGCCAAATAGCACCCCAGAATAGCACCGGTGCTATTCGCGCAGAACATTGTGGTGCTGCCGTGGTGCTATTCGGCGTAGGAATAGAACCCACCATTGCGGATGCGCGCAGGGGAGCAATAGCACCGGTGCTATTTGGCAAATGCCGCCTTAGTAGGTGGCGTGGCAGCCACTGAGGACTGTTCCTGGATAGCACCGCCGGTGCAATAGCACCGACCGATAAAGATGCTCTGACTGGAGCGTGCGGTGTGTGACAATCATAAGCCGAGACTGTCGAAAATCATCCGGGATCCGTGCGTTAGTTAGCCAATTTGGGTGCAGCGGTTGTTTCACGATCCAATCGTGCGGGTAGAAGCGGGATCTGCGGAAGGGGTTCCCCAGTTCGCAGAGGGTGTAAACTCTCGCGGCTGTGCTGCGCAGCCATGGCAGCAGTGACGGTGGCAATGGACACTGCAATCAAACAACAATTGTGGTCGAACGAATAACATCAACAGCGCAACGCAGCCACCGAATGAGCAGGCTCGTAACGGATGAAGCAGGAACGAAAGTGCAGAACGTCGGGCGGAAGGCCCGACTTCTGGACTGGTATAGTACAGTGTCGTAAATCAGTGCTGCACGATGGGGTGGACAACGACATTTTGAGGGCCGTACACCGCAGTACAGGTGGGCCAGCAGTGCAGACCCGCCTGTACTGTGATGCAGACTCTGCACGAAAGGCGGCATGGTTGCTGGATTTGTGCATGCATCGAAGTTCTGGATCCCACGTGTGAATGGCAGGTCCCAATTGTGCTCTCTCGATGGCAGTAGCCGAACTACTCCGCGATTGCAGGAATGTCCGCATGGGCATGCACACAACAATATCCGCAAACGATGCCCATTCACACATAGCGGATCTGGGGTAGATTCCTGCAAACCGATCGAAGACTGGGGAGATTGCGCTGCTGGCTTCTAACGGTGCAACGGGTCCCATTGCAGGGGAAGCATATGCCGAACAGTGTGTTGACCCAAATGAAGAGCAAACCTGCAAACGGGGGCGGAAATGCGAGAGGATACCCATGGTTCTTGCATCTGGCATACATAATACCCAGCAGCAGCATTCTGTCTGCATTTAAGCTGTCGCCCTCCGACTCAAGACAGCCACGCGCATGTGCATCACCCTGTGCGCCACTTCCCACATTGACGTTGTAGTTATGCCCCAGGATGGGATGCGGCGCAATATTCCTGGGTATCAACGCTATTTGCTATAGCCTATAGAAGGCCAAGGATGTTCAACGAGTTGTCAACGCATCGCGCGTCACTGAATGAATCGTGGGAGAGCACTTGATGCTCTGTGTTCAGACCACCGTGTACCACGCGATTCTGCGCAAGGTAGGGACCTGGTGTTCGAAGGTGAGAAACTCTGGAACGGCATGCGGCAGCACCATGCCTTGCTCATTTTGTTGAGTCTTATGATGGTGTGGTGCCTTGCATACGCACACGACAAGCAGCCCTGGCATAGTCGCCCCAGAATACTGCTGCTTGAAACCTTAGCAGACAGTGAAGTACTTCTTACGGCACGCAGGCCCCCACCCCCACCCACACCCACACCCCGTTTTTGGCACCCCCATGCTGGGTTTGGAGGGCGAGAGTGGCATTTTCAGAACAAGATCCCCTTAATCGAGCACTGCTTCGCAGCTTGGCTGCAATCAAGGACTTGATTGGCAGTTGTCAGGGCAAAGGCACCTCTTGCTCATCGCTCCAAGAGTTGACAGCATAAATATGTCATGCCAAATTACCATCAAGCTAAAACATTCCAGCATGGAATAAATGCACCCAATCCTGCAGGTGTCAAGAATATTCCCTGTCCCGTCTTTGGCTCCATGGAGCTCAGATCCAGAAGCCAAAGTGGCCAGCACACCACAGACTCCAACGATTCTTGGTCCACTGGGCAGCCTTAAAACCAGTGTGCTCTGAGCCGAAGAAATGACCAAGCGAAAAATGCGAACACGAGGCACATGTCATTCCACCATCTAAACATAGGCTGCTGCCCTCCACAGCCCAAATCTGCAGCCAATTCTCATATATGGCTTTGGCTTCCAAGAAGGATGGCAAGTCCAAAGATCTGCACAGGTTGCTACACATCGTTGTGTAGACCTAAAGAACCCCATTGCAGTTCTTGAAAGGCTGCGCCCCCAACAAGCACCACCCTCGGGCGTTGGGTTCTACTCCAGCATTCTTGCTGAAGCAAGGGACATGGTCCCGTTCGAGACGACCCAGGGTTCCTGCCATGGCTCCCATTGTGTTCGGGAAGGGTGCCAGACCCGCTGGCCGCTTGGGGTGGTGAAGGAGATCGGTGGCTCACTATATGCCCTTGATTTTCCCGCCAGAGGTTCTGCTCCCTCGGATAATTTGATACAGGTACTTGCCCGTGAACATGTCCAGTAGAAGCGATGCACCTTGCCGCAACGAGGGACACTCAAACTGCGATAGAAAGCACCATACGATTTTCAGAGAAAAGAGAGGAACATACCATGCATCGGGGCACAATCAGCTCTATGGAGAAGCGTAGTGCCCGCTGGTACTGCAACCATGTGACTATGAAGTCCCGAAAGCACAAGAACACGCGGCAACAGAATGGCAGCCCCCGCATCCCCGAAGAGGAGCTCATGTGAGGCCGGAAGCAGGTCGACCCGAATGGTATCACCCAGACTATATATACTGCCCAAACTTCCCAAACCGACGCCAAGGCGGTGAGCAACAGGCCCAGCAGAATTCAACCATCGCTGCCCCCCCTCCCCATTTCCCCAGCGCATTTCCTGTTCTGCCACGCAGAAGCCCACTCCAGGTGCCGCACCCCACTCGAATCGCAAAGTCACTGGCGGGGGCGGAGCCCGATCACCCACCTTGGAGCCTCCCTTTGCGGACCGCCTGGCGGGCCGTCCCTCTGTGCCCCCGTCCCTCCTGTCGGCCTGGTCGCCGCCCTGCTCACACGCGAGCCACGCCAGGCACAGGGCCACCACCAGCG